ATGACGTATACTATCAAACTCACAAATGGACCAATCAGAGGTTAGCGCTGATTTCCAGCTGACGGCGTCCTGTCCTAAGAAACCAGGCCTTAAGTTGTTTATGGAATAATCAAGGACACTGACTTTAATTAATACTGATTCGAAATGCAAAGTGGAATATAATCATAGTCATTCAATAATTGACCCAATTTTTTTCAAAAAAATATTGAATTGTAAGTAATATAAACTGAATTCGAAAAGCTTTTGCAATAATGTAACGAGGAAAATTCAAAGGTATTTTTTACCACCATTTTGGCGATGATGGTGTAGTTGAGTCCACCAATAAACAGACATTTTGTCTCATCGTCAGTTGTGAGTGAAATGTGAGCAAGATGGGAATGAGATATTCAGTTGTAAGAAAACAGCTCCTGATCCTGATGATTTTTTCTTATGAGGCATTGTTATTGAGGTTGTCCATGAAAAGCTATCGCAGTTACTTTGGATTTATTCCCAGTCTGTTAAACAACGGAATTTCTATAGCTCGGTAGTTGGACTCTTGCTCTTCGGATAAAAATGTTATTTCTCTAAAGGCAAAGAGGACAATAGGCTTATTAAAAAAAGAACCTTTTTTTTAATTTTAACAAAGTAATTGGCAGGAGACAGAAGCGTGCCAAGACGTGGAATTGGCGCCAAGAATATTTATACTGTACTTGTCTTTTTACTAGTCAATTTTCAAAATCAGAACTTTATATTTAATACTCTTGCTTCAATTTCGTGTACAACATAACGATTAAATGTTTACCTTATATCGATGAATCACCAATGTCTTCTTTTTTTGGGCAATTTATGCTATAAAGCGTAAATTTAACTTCAAAAATCTTCTTTTCTTTTGCAGGGAGGTTTAAAAGCCGTTTTATGGACCGACGTTCTTCAAGCAATGCTCATGTACACATGCGTGATAGCTTTCCTCTCGGCTGGGACTGTAGACACGGGTGGTGTTTCGAAGATTTATGAGCGTGCAGTTGAAGGAAAGAGAACGAATTTATTTAAGTAACTTAAATCAGTTACAAATAGTATTTTATTGCGATATTATTTTATGTTTAAGATAAATTAAGACTAATTGCAATAAATTTAAAGTTACATTCTGCAAAACTACTTCTACGTATTAATTGTTATTTCAGTTGAATTCATTTAATTGATATGCTGAATTCGAGAATTTTAGTCTATTACGAAGTAAACACTCTATGGAAAATATGTCCTACAGGGAAAAAAATAGCATTTCATTTCTTACTTAGCATACAATGCAAAGCAGGATTATTGCATAATAACCTATAAGTCTGATTTTTTTTCAGTCCTTAGAATAGTTTAATCAAGTTGTCTCCATTAATTTTTCTTACTCCTAATTTTTCTTTCTTTCTTTTCTTACTAACTTTTCTAGAATAGTTTAATCAAATAATCTTTTATTAACACGTTCACGTCGGATGTTGCGCCCGAAAGCGGGACGGAAAAGAGAAAAAGAAGAACTATTTAATTATTATATGGTAGAACTATTTAATTATTATTTTATTATTATATGGTAGAAGAACTATTTCAATGTTAGATAATATTCGGGAGGAGTTAATCTATTCTTAACAATAACAATTCACTGTAAGGAAATTTATCACGGCGAAGAAGCAACTCAATATAAAAATTGCATCCGCTAAAATCATTTCGTAGTTATGGATTTAACCTATGCTGTACAAATTTGTAAATCCCATGACTTTAATAATTAAGAATATTAATTAATTTGTAATTAATTAATACGCGATCTCATTGCTCTTTTCTATGTTCTTAACCTGTTGAATGCAATTCTTAACATCATGTATTGTTTCAAATTTCACCAAACCAAAATTACAGTAAGAATCTAAATTTCAAAAGTTGTGAAGTCATGCAATCTATCCCGTGGTAGGAATAATTTTGCTATATTCCCAATTTCACTAGAAAATCATTAAAACTTGAACTTGTTTTTAATTATTTTTCTGAGCACCTTCCATAATGTTCATTTTATTTTATTTACTTACAGTGCATAATCTTTCAGATATGTAGGCATTTTATGCTAACTCACTATTGTAAATCGGTGAGACATGCTAAACCAGCATATGAAATGCCGTAATCAATTTCCTCAAAATTTCGTGAATTTGCGAAATGAAATTATCAGTGAGTAATATAATTAGGAATATCTTTTAGGCCTTTTAAACTCACCGCCTGAATGGAAAAAAAAAGGTGATTATTGGGTCTGAAGATGGAATTTATAATACTTTTTGTGATTTCCCTAGGAATAACTAATTTTTAGTTCGATGAGCCAATATGTAGCGTTTAATGAATGATCCAATTTCGCATGAAAAAAATGAAATTACTTTTTTTTGAAATTAGTAATTTAAAAACAGTCGATATAGATTTTAAGAGGGGATAAAAATGTGAGAAGAATGGACCATTACTGTTCTGATATTTAGTATTTAATCTTTTATAACTGTTTAAGGGGAACAACTGGTGAGTTTAAATTAACGTACAAGATGAATATTTCTTTTCATTTAGATTGAATTTTGAAATTGTATTATTAGACTGATATCGGGAATTAAATACCTGGTATTATTTCTTGATTAAAAAACTTCATTCCATTCAAAAATTTACAGAATGGAAGAATCAGACGACATGCTTCTATCGCTCAAAAATAAACTTGACAGACGTGAATGAAGAGAAATATAAGTGACACAAAGTTGCCAACTAAAAATTAAAATTGAAGAGGACAAACAAAACTAAAGAAACTTTAATAGCCAGGAAAGAATGAAAGTAACATGAAAAAACAGAACAAGAGAAACCAATGGGGCTGAAAGAGACAAATCTTGGTAAAATGCATTTCCTCGTGCTACGCAGAGTGGCGAAGAACTAATGTCATTAACAAAAGAATCAGCATGCATGTGAATGAAAAAAGTTTCCAGGGCATCAAGGTGAGCTGATGTGACAGGGGTAATAATAATTTTGGCATTGTTGAATTTGAACTTATGCCCAAGATTCTAACGATTGACGATTTCTCTTATTCTTGATAAGGGATATATCCATGGAGTTCTTTTAGTCTAAATTTTATCGCGTGTCTAGTTTGACCGACGTAGCTACATCGACAAAGGTTGCGCCGACACAGAATGTGGCTTCATCGATTATCAACAATAATAAGATCTTTAAGAGACATTGTTAACAAATCTAAAATGACTTTAAGACCCAAACGGGAGAGAATATTAGTAATTTTTTAGCAGACTGTAAAGTTCTTTGTTAGGAAAGAATTAGAAGAATTGAATTTAGCTTGAGCTCATTCAACTATAGAAGGGTTAGCAGCAAGCGAGAGAGGAAATTTAAACTCGGAGTTTTAAGAAGAGGTATGGGATGTAGAATTAAGATGAATGGGCTAAGAGACTGTTTACGATATTTGATGTTAGTTATGGAAAAAAGGTGAACTGAACATCAAATTTTTCTCCTTTAGATAAATTTTTAAACTGTTATTTTTATTCGAAAAATTGCAGTTTCAAATTGGATTTTATCACGAGGTTCACATTCTGGAACTGCTTGTTTTGCGGATTGGTACGCGGATTAGGGAGCTACGGTACAGGACAAATGGAAGTACAGAAAATGCTGAGTTTGAAGACAAGTGACAAGGCCTCGAGGTAAAAACTTTATTCAATTCGTAGAATACAAATTTAATTACTTTTAATTCCAGAATGTTTAGGATGCGATACACTAAAATTTATTTTTCAATTTGTTATGCTAATAATTTGAAATTAAACATTAATTCTTAAAATCAATTTTTTTACTTTTAACTAGCCGCCTAAGGCGGCCAGCTGTCCGCCACGCTAAAGGTTTTCACAAATAAAGTTTTTTTAAAACATAGCAGGAAATCTGAAGATTAGGGGACAATTGAAGTGTTCCTTCAAAAGCAATTAAATTCCTATTTTATATATTATATAGCTACAACGCTTAAGGAAAAAAAAATAGTGCGTGGAGTCCCTCCGCGCGGAAGAAGTTAAACTTCGCAACCTGCGACGTTATTTGTAGAAGAATCAGCAGTCGTAGAAGGATCACTAGTTCTATTCAATGATTCTTTTTCCTGCTCCGCTCGCTTCCGTGCTCTGTAATCACGGTAATATTGTGCATTTTTCCCTCATGGACCTCTTGAACCAGTGGAAGTGCTTGTGGTTGCCTCATCGTCTCGTCCTGAAAAATGTATTTGTATTAATAATGTATGTGAATGCGTCATAATGTAATTTCAGAAGAAAAAACAAAACAATCAATTGATATTCACAAGAGACGTACCTTGACATAACCTTAAATCCGTCGCACTGTCCGTGGGATTGTTTTCACTCATTTTTTACAATTGTTATCCACTAAATTTGAAAATAAAAAATATTACCCTATTAAATTATATGTGTATCAAAACAAACTAAAAAAATGTTTATAGAAAAACAATACTTTTATGACTTTTATTATTTTTATGCTAGTGAGAACCAAAACAATATGGAAATGAATGAAAGAAAACTGAATCCTACCACGTGATTTCCCGGTCAATAAAAATGTAGCGTTAAACGTTTAACGCAACCTTGTTGGAAGTCGCATAAGAAATATAAATTCAAAAAAACTAAAATGCTAAATACATGAAAAGAACACGAAAACGAATTAATTTTTTTATGGTATCAATTTCTATTTCTATATAATTTTTTATGGTATCAATTTCCATTTCTATATCGCTACAAAAATTATCGTCTTCGCTTAAGAAAAAAAATAGAGCGTGAAAAAAAGAAAAAAAATTTATTATAACAATTATGAACCGCGACAAATATATCAAATCGAAGCGTTCTATTTACGTATGGAATATATTGCCACATTTTTAATACAAAAGTTAAACTTTTCTCCACTTTGATAAATGTAAACAAATGCGAAACTTACAATTAAATTATTAATTCCTTCATATATTATTGGTTTAAGTTGTCGAAAATTAATATTTCAATTGTAAGGTTCGCATTAGCATACATTTAAAAGAGTGGAGAAAAGTATATGGATTTTTTAATAGTTTTTTGAATATGGCTCTTTGAAGGCGAAAAAGCATAGATTTTCTTACAAAATGACTGATAACTAAAAAACTAATCCAAATTTTGGAAAAAGAAAAAAAATACTTCTTCATTATGTCAAAACACAATTATGTGCCGAGTTTCGTGCCTGGGCGAGGCTTCTGGGGCGATATATTATGATTACAGACAGACACACACACAGCCGCGTTTATTATTATGTATAGATGTATAGATAAAAGCAGTATTCGCCAAATATGCTTAGTAAAGCATTTCTTTACCTTCGAAAAGAAAGATGTATTCAAAAAATGAATTATTATTTTTTACAGAAACGAAATAGAATTCTCAGTACATTTAAATTTTCGTAACTAGTAAAAATTAATATATTTTAAGCAACTAATCCATATTTAAGTTGCGGTTCAAAACTTCATTAACGACGCATTACTCGATATAATTAGTTAAAGTTTTTTCTTAAATTAGACCGAATTCAGTCATATTATTATAGCATCTACAGTAATGTTTAATTTGTATATTTTATAAACAGTTTAATGTTTGTATATTTTATAACAGTTTCTCTGAAGAAAAAAAAACGATAAGTAAATGTTATTAATTTGTTGAATTTTACGTACCTCTAACAGAGTTTAAGAAAAGGGAACATAGCGTAAAGGGAATTTAACGAAAATTTAAGACATTTTTTCATGCATTTTCCAAATGCCTTATTTCCACAGATTATTTTATGGTTTAAATTTTAGTTCAAGATTTTTTTAAAAAAAAGATCCATGTATTACGAGTACATTATTGTTTAATTTGCGCTAGTTTAAACGTAATATTAGAAATTTAAAAGAATGTTTCTACACCAAGAGACGTGAGCAATAAGACAAAAATAATCTAGGTGTACTGTAAGCAAAAAGAAAATGTGTTACCCAGAAATAACTTTTGATCTCATAATCGGATCTTCACGTTCTAGGACTCAATCTTCGTGGCTCAAAGGGGTAACTTCAAATGTTAATTGATAAGTGTGGTCGATATTTTGAGTTACGTAATCAGACTAAAAAATGCATTTTCTCTGAATAAACATACCTTTTTTTATCGAAAGATTCTGATTTCTGACCCTCAAAATACAAGGGTCCAAACATTTGGACCCCTTAATGTTAATTTTACATTTTGCGTATTTTGCTAGTTTCTTAAACGAATTAAAAAAATTATTGGACACAATTATAAAATTCGTTTATACAAAGATATATGGTAGTTTCCATGCACAAAATAACTTTTAATAAATATTTATTATTTTTTATTATTTTGTTGAATGATGGTCAAAAAAATTTTAAATTGTAATGTATGCATCATTATAAAACTATAATTTTGAATAGCAAAATACAATGCAAAATTTAAACAAAATAGGTTGAATAGTTTCTGAGAAATTGAATTTCAAAAGGGTCAGATGTTTAAAATTTGATATCTCAGGAACTATTTGACCGATTTTGCTCAAATATTATATTTTGTCTTGTAAAATTATGTCCTTTAAAGTGATAAAAAATTGCATACCTTACAATTAGAAATTTTTTTGACCATGATTAAATAAAATAATAATAATAATAATAAATATTTACTAAAGTTATTTTTTGAATTGAATTATCTTTGTATAAACCTCAGATGAATTTTACCTTAAACCTTAACCGAATCCTTAAAGAAATTTTATAATTGTGTCCAAGAATTTTTCATTTCGCTTGAAACTTTCAAAGTATAACGAAATACGGATAAAGTAAAATTACCATTAAGGGTTTTATTTTTGAAGCGTTCTCCTGACCTAACTATTAAGACCATATTTCCCAGATTGCTGCTACCTTTGGGGGTCAGAAATCGGAATCCCTCGAAAAGCAGGTACGTTTATTCAGAGAAAGTACGTTTCTGTGTCTGATTTCGTATCTTAAACTATCGTCTGCATTAATTAATTAGCATATTTGAGGCTACCCACCCCCAAGCCATCAAGATGAAGTCTTAGAACGTGAAGATTCGATCATTAGATCAAAAGCTCAAGGTTGTTCATTTTAACGATTGAAGTTATGTTAATGTATGTACCATTGATTTTTTTGTATTGACAGAGCTCTACAGATTAGTATTTTGCCGATACTCCTTCTACATGTAATGTGCAACTTAGCTGGTCTCGTATTGTATTCTCTATTTTATTTTTGTGATCCCATACTAAACACGATTCAATCGAAGTTTACAAAATATGATCAAGTAATGATATTATTTATGGTTACATATTTTTTATCAGCATTTTTTTGTTACTGCAACTTTCTGAAAGTTTGAAATTTCAATGAAAAATTACATCTATTCAAATTTCATGATGATCAATAATTGCAAATATTTTATAGGTATTTGTTTTAGTTTTTACGATCTTGATCAAAATTATCTAAACACTAATCTTTTTTTTTTTTTTAATTTGGCTGAAAATAGTTATAATGCGTAATACAATTATGTGCAATAAAATATAAAGACTAAACATTTAGCATTAAGAGTGTCTAACTTAATTATAACGCTAGTGCTTAAGAATTTGTTGTGTACAACTTTTGTACCTCTTTTTATCTAAGAATCTTCATAGCAAATTTCTAAAAGTTTAAAAGTTCAATGAAAAAGTAAATGTGTTTAAATTTTTTGATGTCGAAAATTTGTAAATACTTTTGAGCCTTTCTGTTTTTCTTTATATGATCCTGATCAGAATAATTTTATAGTTTGTTTGAAATTTGCTACAATTCATAATATAATTATATATANAATCAAAGATATATATATATATATATAAAATACCATATGAACTAGACATTCAACATCTAGAGTATCTAATTTAATTTTAACGTTGGTGTTTACACTGTTAGAATTTTCATTCTAAATTACGATAAAATAGCCTGCAACAGTCTGTGCAGCTTATCTTTACTCTCATTTTTTATCTTTACGATTTTGAAACCGTTAGAACTGGTATGATCGAAAAACCGTGAAAGTAAAATCTAACTTGAAATAGGAGTTAGGTTATGCTAGGCTATTCGTTTGGCGATGAAAATTTCAGTAAGTTGTGGTTGATTTGTGTTATGTCTAATGAACCTTGGAATGTGGGATAATTTGTTTTTCTTGTGATGCCATCTATTGTGAGAATCAGGAAATATTAGACTTTGATGTGTTAATCATCTTGAGCATAGATGATTCTACCACCTATGCGTGAATGATTGTTTATGAGAGTTTTCTAATAATGCATGGTCACCAATTGGGAGAGCTGGACAATGAAAATTCTTCGGTTGTTAAAAGAGTGGAACCCTATGTCACGGAATTGAAAAATAAGCCCTCTTGGCTACAGCAAGAACCCAGCCGCAGGGAACTAAATGGCTTAATATTGTGGGCCTAGTTGACGTGATATTAAATTCTGGTTGTTTGACCGTATTAGGTGAAAACGTCTAATAAATGATTTTTTTACAGTTAATAGTTTGAATAACATTTTTTATGGTTATTTGACTGCCTTGGTTAAATATGGTAAAATAATAATTAAATAAATTATTATTTAACCATTTTTTCTAAGAAATTTTTTACAGTGTAAGAATTTATTATGTTCAATTTTGTCTACTTGCAGATGTTACCCTATTACATTGTGAATCGATTCAGTTCTTATCCAGGTCTCACTGGTCTGTGCTTCTCCGGAATATTTAGTGGATCTCTTAGCACAGTTTCATCCGCCTTGAACTCGCTGTCTACTGTCACTGTAGTAGACTATATCCAACCACTTTTTCCAGGAATGACTGAATCTAAAAAGGTTTTTCTGGCAAAACTTTCATGTAAGCGTAACTCACCATCAGTTAGCAGTTAGTTATAATTATTTTCGTAATTAATTATAATTAGGAAAAAAATTGGTTTTAATAATAATTGCATACTCTATGTTCAGATAGAAGATCAATTACCTGACAGATTTACCACGAACTGAAAATATCTCTTCGAAATTCGTAGAGAGAAGGTGCTGACGAAGAGCTTGGGTGCTCATCAGAATTCAATTTTATAGTCCGAAAATCGAAGCTAATTATAATTTAACGTGAGGATGGGATTCGAAACCTTAACCTCTTAACTTGTGCGCTCGAGTTAATTCGAGCGAGCTAAACAGGCCAAACTGTGCACACTCGAGATAATTCAAGCGGTGTTGTATTTTATGCTGCTACAATTTTTCACACTCGAATATAATTTAGAATTGAAAATAACAATGTGTAAGCTAAGAAAAAATTCGTTTTATTTATATTTATCATTTACATAGGATTGTAAGCAATGAAATTGATTTATTCAAAATTAAATTATGGCCTTTTTCTATGGAACAAAAGCGCAGTAGTATATATAAATTATCCATCAAACGAAAAGACAATGTTCTAAAATGTGTTTTTTTTGCACTAAAAAACGATTTTTTTTCTTAAAATCTATACGCTAAGGGGTTAATTACTGATTAAAAAACGACTTTACTTCCCCCCAGTACAAAGGTTGGACAGTGGACCACTCAACAATCATTCTAGAATACATTTCATTTCCTTCCTCTCTTTAAAAAAAAGAAGAAAAACTCATACTGTCAATCAAAACTCATACTGTCAATAAAAAATCATACTGTCAACTTTAAATTATCTAAAGTTAAGCAAAATATGGACGTAAGGTAAAACATTAGGAACATTGTTCTCATTTTAAGTATTTAAATCATTTAAACAGACTGAATGTCGATTTTTATATTAATTTGTGATATACATTTTCATACGTTTCGATACTGTTTTATAATTAAGAAAAATAGGTTTCAAACTAATGAATTATCTCCGTTCTGAAATTGCGCTTGAGTTGGAAAATATTTCTTGTGCTGTTATTTGTCCTTCGGTCGGCCAGAATCTTCTGTGTGACCAAACGTTGAACTAAAACATCTGGAAGCATCTCAACACTCGACTTTTTCTAATCGTTTTAGTCACGTGGCGTAACTACCACTACGAAAATTAAACATCAATTAACTAGTATATAAGACATGCTAACTTGACTCAATCATGCGGTACCTTTTGATAGATGAAAGTTGGCATGGTCGATAACTCCGCCCCCACATTGGTGACCACCGGACGTGATTTTATCACGCAGTAACGACTACTTCGTTGGATGATCCACATTGAACAGTTAACTTGCTACTTGTGACTGCGACATAATCAAACTCCTCACGCTGTTGCAACTCAGTCTCGATTAAACATAACGCCAAAATTCTTTGGTTGAAGTATCTATTTCATTGCAGGTTTTCTGTACGGCATATTAGGTATCGGAATCACATTTATATTTCTCAATGTTCAGAGTCTAAAGCAGTTTTTTACCTCTATATCGGTGTATGACGGTTCGATACTTGCTGTTTTCTTGATTGGTATTCTTACTCGAAAAGCAGATGACAATGTGAGTATTTTTTCTAGAATATTAGTCATTAAAAACTATCGATTTATTCTTTCATCCACTGAAATAAAAAGCATGTTAAAAATGACTAGAATATTGTAAAATTTAACGTGTTTCTGGCACTTCTGTAAAAAAATTCTGAATCATTCTCCGGTAAAAAGTATCGGCACTCATAATGCCGGTGCATTTTACCGCAAACTCCATTTTTACCAAGACATGTTATGAAACAAAATATCTGATTTTTACAGTAATAATTACCCTAAAATCACTGGATCATCTCTAATTAAATAAATATTATTGTAAAATTTAAGGTACAATATTTTATGGTAAAAAGGAATTTTACGGATGTAGCATCCAAAGTGCCGATATACCAGGGGTGGCCAAGTTCCATGATAGTTGAACCATTTTTCAAAATTTTAAATTTTTCGCGAGCCGCAATTCAATACGTATTTAAAAGGTAGGCAATAAAGGGAATGAGAAACAAATTTTTTACAGAAATTATATTTATTGAGAACATATAATTAAATTACAAAATATATATATTGAATTTAAATATTAAAAATTAAACACATTTATTTTACTTCTCTTGATAATTCTTTAAAATTTGGTGAATAATTTGTGACATCACTTCTCAGTAATTCTTTGAGACTGTTGAGATTGTTAGTTTATACTGATCGGTGTTTGAATTTCACGAATTTTAAAGTGGAATAAAATGATTCACATAAGTAAGTTTTTCCGAATATTCAAATAATTCGACAAGCAACCTTTTTTAATTCAGGATACTTCGATTCTGGTACAAATTTCCAAAATTCAGTAATCGACGTCGACTAATATTTTAATTGTAGAGCTTGATCTTCTTGCATCTCTATTAATTCTAATTCTCCCGATGCTTTTAGGGTAATAATTATATTGTAAATGGAAAACATTCACCTTGAATTATGTTAATTTCAAATGAATTCAGAAAAAAAAAATCAAGAGACGATTTAAAATATTTCAAGACTTGAAATCCATTTTGGGAAATTCGTCAATATTCCTTCTAGCTTTTTTATATACTCGTTGAGTATTTCTTGTTTAATATTGAAACAATTTTTTTAATTCGCGGAAAATGACAAAATGTTTTATTTTAAATGTCTTTTTGAAAAAGTTGTAATTTAGTTAGAAAACTAAATATATACTGTGAGTGATCAGATATTATTTTATTTTATCTCGGGTATATTTATCCAGAGCCACAAATAATCCTTCAAAGAGTGGCATGTGACTAGCGAGGCGCAGGATGGCCACCCCTGCTTTATACCGTAATTTGTTCCAGAGTTTTTTTTTTTTTCAGTGTATGGGGATACCAAGAAGCACGATAATTTTGGCTGAAGAGCTTTGGTAACGACTTTTGGTAAAGTTGACAATAAAATAGGATATTATTGCCGTGTTGATTGGTAATAAAATAGTAAATGTAGTAAAATTTTTTAATTTTATGATGATGTTTTGGAGCATGGCATAAGAACCATTTATTCGGTTAAATTTAATTTTCAATTTTGCATTTTTATTAAATGTGTGGTAATAAGAACTATAATTTTGAAAACCTGAATTTCCGAGAAATCGTTACCCTACGAAAGGTAAAAATTACTTAAACAATAGTTTTAAAATTAATTTAATGAATTAAATTTTTATTTTACCAAAAATGCCTTATTATCTAAATGTCGCAATTTTACCGAAACTTTTTTTTCTGTGCACTCTTTATCGATCAAATTTTTTTTTTACTATTCTGCGTCATTTCTATATTTAAAAGTTTGAATAATAACTACTAATAATAACTAATAATAACTACTTTTTTCTCCTATTCTCAACTAATTTAATAGAATTATACTCAAATAGTAATGAACTTTCAGGCCAATAAATGAACTAATATTTTGTTTAGTTAAAATGAAGATCGAAATATCGACTTAGTGACAAAAGCTTATGAAGTTTTAAAAAAATCAATTGTTGGGCAATTTTTATTTTCTATGAGAGATTATTCCACTTTTAAAAGCTTGGCCAATTTCAATGACTTTCTGGTCAGTTAGTTTCTCCATAGAGAACATCAAATAATTTTCTAATTGTTAAGAAAAGATTTAATTTTTTTTTAGCGTTCTGGCTGTCAGACTTTGTAAACGTATATATTTAATATGGATTTTCTTTCTGAATCTATGAATACATGTTCTTAAAATAATTTTCGGTTTGATACTTTTAGTTCTTAAAAACTATTAATTTAATACTTAACTCATTTCTTACTCCCTAATTCTCAACTAACAAAAGAATAATAAACATGTTTTTTAAACATGGAATTACTGCACAACCTCGCAGAGCTAGTAAAAAAATATCGAACTCAAAATTAGAGTGTTAAAAGCAGGAAATATATTCTGAAAATCACTAACGTGAAATTAATTTCAACATAAAGTCAAGAGAAGCACAATGTAAGACGTTTTTTTTTATTTTTTTATATGCCTCAAGAAATAATTTTTGCTTTCTTCTACATGTTTGTTGTAACATAAAAGCAAAATATATTCAATTAAAAGCATCTTTTGGATAGTTATATAGTTTAAATAATCATCGGATTCTTATAATACTTTGAAACTAATAACTCATTTCAGTGCATAATCTTTGGAACAGTTTTGAGTGTTCCCATCATTGCTTGACTGTCATTTGGAAATTTATTCAGTGGTTACAAAGAACCTCCTTTAGCTCTGAATAATCGTTTATCATCCTTTAATACATCAAGTCAAATGCTTAATTTCACCACAAGCTGTGTTGATGAAAGTACAAATATCTCAGAGTTCCAGACAACCAACATTTTACCTACATATAAAAGGTAAGACATTTGTCTCCTTACATATTTTAAACAATCTGTTCTGTAAGTGCACATAGTTAAACACGCGAATTACTTTCGATCTAATAATAGCGTTTTCACACGCTAAAATGGAACCTTATTAATAGTGCAGAATATGTATTAGTGCAAACAGTATGTTAAGTTACCAAATCAGATCAGATAATTTAAAATCTTTTACATATGCAAGTGATATAGGGAAAACTATATAATACTTTACAAAATCTGAATAAAAATGCACCTTTTTGAGAATTAGAGTTTCTGATTTTCTAAATCTGAGGACTTTTTATTTTATAATATTACCGGCGTTAAACAGCCGACCCAATTTTTTGGGTTAACGACTACTAATGTTCAACTCCGTAACCTTGTAATTTTGAACCCAATCCAGAAGACAAGGAAACTGCTGGTTCAAGTATTGGGAAAAATTTGCCTTCATGGAGGACTTTTTGATGGAATTTACCCGCATTTGAGTTACATGGAGAAGACGACCACGGCAACCTCACACGGTTAGCCTGGCGGCAAGGGGACTCTAACCCATGATCCGTCTACTGAGGATATTTTACGTCAGCATTGATGAGGAATACACCAGCCATCGGTGGGATTCCAACCCGGTTCACCTCATTGAAAGGAGAGCGCTCTATCACCCGAGCCATCACGGCTCAAATCTGAGGACTTTTTATTTTTATTTTATAGCCGTCGTTGAATAGCAGACCCAGTTTTGGGGCTTACTACTACTAATGTTTAACTTCTTCACTTTGTAACTTTGAACCAGTTTAGAAGACAAGGAAAGTCCAGGATCAGTACTCCTAGAGGTATTGATTTATTGTTGGAACATGGAGGACTTTGAGATTCGACAGATATAACGTGCATCAGTCATCATTTACCACAAGGGGAGTCTTCGGCCGATCTGAGATCATCGAACCTACGAACTCTTGGACATGTACGAAGTTGACATGTTGGGGGGTATGGGACATGTTGGGGGGTATGGAAGGTCCGGATTTCCGAAATTTCCGGATTTCAGATACCTTACTTGAATTGATAGAATTATCGAAGTTTCGAATTCGCCAGGCCGATTTCGCGATTAATCACGCGTGTGTAGACCTCCGACGTCAATTTTAACATAAATATACTCTTTAAATAATAAATAAAAGACATTAAAAATCAAACTTTCGTCATTTTTCCCCCGCAATCGATCGTTTAGATCAGCGGTTCTTAACCTATGGGTCGCGACCCAAAATTGGGTCGCGAAGCATATTTCTTGGGTGGCCCTGAGTCGAACCAAAAAAGTTAGTAATACACCAAATAATAAGTAATACCAACACCTCCTAGAAGAAGTCATTGTGGCTTACTCAGCCTAATTTTGACTTTCTTTTGGGTCGCGGCTTAAAAAGGTTCAGAACCACTGGTTTAGATAACATAATATTAGCAATTAAAACTAAAAAATATAGGCTTAAAACGCGAGCTGAATTTCAACTTATAACCGAAACAGATGCTTCTAGACTAGACTGTACCTGCTGATACTAATCCTTTTTTTTTGTTGGGAGATGAAAGAACTTGTCCCCGCCTCCTAAGCTTCAAGGTTAAGAAAGAATCAGTTTTCTTTCATCACAAGGGGGAAAAGCAAGGAGATGGAAGAATTCCTCCTTCTGAGGAGATTCCCCTTCAGAAGGAGGGGGGATTCCCTTTTATATTATTTGTTATCTATACAGAACTGACAAGAATGACTGGAATCTCCTTATCAGCTATGAGCTTTCATTCATTCCCCACCTCTACCTCTTCATCTACTGCTTCATTGTTGCAAAAGAGTTGTGGGACTTCCCTTCAGGAGGAGGGGATTTCCCTTTATATTCTCTGTTATCTATATAGAACTGATAAGAATGACTGGAATTTCCTTATCAGATATGAACTTTCATTCATTCCCCACCTCTACCTCTTCATTGTTGCAAAAGAGTTGTGGGATTCCCCTTCTGGAGGAGGGGATTTCCCTTTATATTCTTTGCTATCCATACAGAGCTGATAAGAATGACTGAATTTCCTTATCAGCTATGATCCTTCATTCACACCCCACCTCTACCTCTACTGCTTCATTGTTGGAGAAGAGTTGTGGGTTTGCATTAAAATTTTTATTCTAAGCGATTTTTTTTAAATTTTTTATTTTGAAAATTTTTTTTGAGGAACTGGACGTATGAGTCCGGATTTTAGAGATTTCCGGATTTCAGAAGTCCGGATTTTCGAGGTCGTAATATACAAAAAGATTAAAAAAAAACATGAAGAAAATTACGAAAAACAAGTTTTTTGAGTGCTCCTCACACTATTGTATTGATATATTTTGCTTTGGTTATATCGATGCAATATTAGAAAGCACTCCTTTTTGCGGATATAATCGTGTGAGCTGATGATAAGATTATATCTTTTATCTTCTGGATTTTTATTTTTTTCCTTTTTCTCCTGTTTCTTCTTATTTTTATTATTTTTTTTCCTTTATCTCCCTTTTTTAAACTGGATGTCTATTTTTAATGAGCAATACAACTTAGTAGCAATACCCTTACTTAGTGCAAAAAGTATTTCACACTAAATAAGGGGTCATTTATTTGCTTAATCTTAGTATCATATAATTTCAAATCAAAAATATGCATTTTAATATTTGATAGGCATACTCACTTGTTGTACTCTTCCATCGTTAAAAAGGATTATCAAAAATATTCTAAAGGAGCATTTAAAAAGCAATTTAAGAAATTACTTTCCGGCCATAAGAAAACTCAAGTTCCACTTAAAACTAATTTTTTTTCTTACAATAACAATTCTTGAGAATTTATCACACAGTTTTGCCAAGCAAATATAGAGATTAAAAATTAAGTAATTAAAACTAGAATTGATTGAGTGATTAAAAATAGATATAATCAAGCTGATCCCCATATATTATGGGTGTCATAATTCCAGAAAACTCAATATGTGGTTTTTTTCTAAACAGTCTTTTTCTAAACAGTATGTCAGGTTAAATAATTGTTTTTTTTTTAATGCTAGTGCGAATATTTTTAAAATAACTACCAGGGAACAATGTATTTTAATACATCTGACCTGCACAACAACCGCTTGATGCATTTCACTTAAAAACAAATTTTTAGAGTGACTTGAAAATTATTAGTTCACTCTTTTAAAAACTTTGTTCTTTGTAATAATATTTTGATTGATAACAATGTTAAGACGCTGTCATTTTATGATACTCGAAATCCATATTATTTACGTACTAAGTAATTTTATTGCAAACTTTTGGTGGTCTAAAACTATTTTATCCTGTATCTTACTTTAGAGTAATTTCATTCTATTCCTTAGTGATATCTTTGTTCTTTACAAAATATCTTTCCAATGGCTTCCCATGTTAAGTTTCTTCTGTACATCTTTCATGGTATTCCTAATGATCATCATTACAGGTTAGTATAACAGTAATCTCTTTTATTCTTTTCTAAAGAATTTGCTTATTTAAGTTTAAAAACGTTCAAAACTTCCAGTATTTTGCACTTTTTTCCTATCAAAATATGAAAACAATAGATTTAAGTACTCTTTTCAAACATACGAAAATAATATTTCTATGATAAAAAAGAGTTTATCAATTATTTCCTGTTGGTGGATATCTTAATTTTGTGTTAACTTCTCAGTTATTTGATTTTACTTTACAAGTAATCGAATAATTACTGTCAGAGTACTTATACAAATGATTATTTTTGTTTCATTCAGTAACCTATACTCTCGGTAGATCCATCTTTTAAGCATTATTTATGTAATATTCCGTCAATACGCTGTGAAAAATTCCAAATCAAATTACCGTATAAAGTGCCGGCACTTTAGAGGCATAATCGGTAAAATCCATCTTCACCATAAAGTATTATATCTCAATTTTCACAGAAATATTATTCAATTGAAGTCATCTTATAATTATAACAGTGAAAAGTACGGTAAATTAGAGTTTTTGTTCCGTTACGGAAAAATGGATTTTACAGTGAATAGTATCGGCACTCAGAGTACCGGTACATTTCACCGTAATTTTATCTGGAATTTTCCACAGTGTATTTTGTTTAGTTCACTTTAATACTGTTTATGAACTTGTAAAATGAATGTGCAACAAACAAATGCTGGTTTTATTGGTTAATAAATAATAAATTGGCTGGTTCAATAAATAAGTAAAAAAAAATGATAAAAGAAATTTAAGAAAGTTAACCAAAAACAAGTTGGTCTTGTTCATTAGTATGCGCTTGTTCCGAACACTTTTATTGTAACCTTTTATTAATGATTTATTATTATTAATCTTCTATTATCAACTCTTTATATATATTAAAGATGCAGAAAAAATATATTTGAAAACTGCAGAGAATGTTTGATGCTACGATAATGATATAAGTATTTCATAATTAATTTCACAAGCATTCAGACTTTTTTTTCTTCAAAAATCGTAGCAGACCATCAAGGAATCTATCAATTTTAACTATTCGTGAACGCAACGAACTTATCCACTCCATCGTGTAATCACTACACTGAAAAATCATAGTCCCTCTGAATAAGTTGTTGCTGTGGCATCCTTTCACCAAAGGAAATGGCTTCGGCCAGCTCTAAGATCCTCCTGAGAATGTTACCGCTATCTTCTATACGAAGCTTGTCCAAAGGAAAGTTCTTCNAAGGTACCTCGTGATAGAATCAAGTTAGCATGCTTTATATACTAGTGAATGATGTTAAACTTTTGTAGTGATAGTTACGCCACAGTAGCTCCTAGTTGGGTCCTCCCCTCCAGTTTGGTTATCAATACTAAGAGGGACCACCTCCCTGGATTTGGCTCTTCTCCAAGGAGCAACATCTTCTCTGGGCTTCTTTCCAATTTGGGTTGGAGCACATGGGGAGGACGTTGCATCAGAAGGTCTAAGCATTTTAGCTCCGCCACTCCTCTCAGTGGCCCTCAACTTTTTCTTAAGTTTCCTTCGTTGGCTCAT